CTGAGACATTTATTCTAATCCTGTTTTTTTCAGTCTAGGGAAGCCAAAACATAGAAAGGATTCCAGGAACTAATTACATAATTTACTTGCAGCTGCGGCAATAAATGATTTATTTTGGATGATGTCCTCTCTTTGTACGCTAATCATCAGCCCACATCATTTGCTCCGTATCCAGTTTCAGCCGACGTTTAAAGCCTTCCTGCTGCGAGCGAAGCCAGTAAACATCCTGATAAATAAACCCTGATAAAGTTCTGTCTGTCAAAACACTGGAGCCTCATCAGAATCGCCCGTGCATGATGATCCTCTACCTCGTTCCCTCATTAACAGCGTTTGATTAAACCTGATACACGAGCAGCTGGGCGGCGGCTACAAGCTCCAGCATCAGCTCGGCCGACACCCCTGACTGATCACATACACGACCAACAACGGCTCGGCGGCCACCTGAGACCAGCAGACACCTGAGTCCTGGCTGCTCGAGGCCTCCTTCACGCCGGCCCGCGGTCACCCTATCCCGTCTCGTTAGCGTCATTAGCCCGGATAAGCAGCCTGCTCTGATGACACCGTGATTGGTGGAAGGGCGCTAATGTGCACAATTAACCTTCAACCCCTCGGCGGGGTGTCGAGTTGCCAAGAACAGTAGCGACCTGTGAGAAAAATGAGGCGACTGACTAATGACGGCGAGCGGGATCGTTTTCTGTCCAGAACGTCATTTCACGTCATTATGTCTTTATTAACTGCTGAAATATTCATACAGCGTTTCACCCTGAATTCATGCAGCAGCCTGAATGGAACAGATTCTGTAGGTTCAGCTGGTGTTAATTTATACGTTTGCTATTATTAGAACATTATTTGACAACCAACAGAGTCTCTCAACTCGACAATAACTGATGTAAAAAGTGGATATTTGAGCTGAAGTTGAAGTAAATTACTGCTTCAGATGAATCTAATTTATGTTTCTGTTTTGGTGAAAACAGTTTAGTGGATTCAGTCAACTTAAAATGATGCTTTGTCCTTTTAAACTTTAATTTGAGCAAATATGCAAAAATGACTGTAAGTTTAACGTTGTGCATCTCACATCATGACGTCAAATGTTTCTGCTGCCACTGGATCACTGTTTTCTTCAACTCACGTGACAGAGAAAAGCAGAAAATGTGCGTTTGATGATAAAATGGTGTTTTATATTTGGGTAAAGCAAATATTTTATTAGAAACGTCAAAGGGACTTTCTTGAAAATTTTATTTCAGCAACAAAAAGTGTTTATTTGGGAAAAAAATCTAATTATTTAGGTAATATTTAACTCAAATCAGTGGCGATAATATCACTTCATTCTGATTCATTTAATTCAATTGCATGTTATCAATCATAGCATTTAATTCAGGTTCGTCTAACAATTCTCTTTTTTCTGCTAATAGAGAAAAATTCTGTATATTAGGGATTGAAAAATGATAAATATTCTTTTAAAATATAATATAATATATGTTATAGTTACATGTTGACTATATTTAAAAAACAGCCCTACACTAAAAATAATTGTATTTTAAAAATGGTAATTTGTTTTTTTATATGTTGTGTGACCATAAAATGACTCTGTTTTACTCTATTTAATTTGTTTAAAATGTTATTCATTTTAACAGATATATATAATATAATATATAATAATTTATATATTATTTTACAAATATTTGCTGCTATTTTTTTTTTTTACATTTTTATTTTATTTTATTTTTAGATTTTTTTTAACTCTACAATTTTAATGCATTCTTTCGGCACCTTGCCTCCCAATTTTTTTGTGTTTTCCTTTTTTTTTTTTTTTTTAATTATTGTATTTAATTTTTTACAGTATTCTGTTGCAGAAAAAAAAACACATTTTTCTTGCTTCACCACAACTTAACTATCTCATATTATAGTCAAACCTACCTACTGATTTTTCTTTCACTTCCTTAAGTGTGTCAGTTTGTGTTGGAATGCACAACCAGCCGATGCTCTATGAAGCACTTTGGAGAAAACTCTCACCTCACAGAGAAACAAGTGAAGATGCAACTTCCAGTCAGACTTCAGGAGAGTGTGTCTGCACGTTATAATTACGTGTGACCCCGGCGATGATTATTTATGAGCCCAGACTGGGTGTCCATTGTTTCCATGAGGGGACCAGCTGTGGATCTGTTCCACAGGAGGACGTAAAGCCTCCAGTCCTCCACTCCGCAGACCCCCTTTGTCCTCGGCCGGTCATTAACAGCAGACAGCCTGAGGACGGACCCCCTGCTGTGGGCAGCAGCCTCCACGCCCAACACACAACATGCAAACACACACAAACAAACACACACTGTACCTCCAGTTACTGCCCCGGTGCCTCTTGTTTACACGCTTCGGCATCAGTGCAGGTTCTGTTTGCTTGAGAAAAAAAGTAGAAGACCTAGCAGAGATAGAATGATGTGTGCAGCAGCGTTTTCATCAGTTTTTGGTGCATGAACAGAGGAAACACAACCAGAAGGCCTTGCTGAGCTTTCAGACATGCCCTAAATCAGATCAAATAGACGTGTGCATTCCTTGTGCGTCATATCAGGCACAATAGTTTGAATGGTTGCAAGGTGGCTGAATGTTCCTTTAAATAAATATAGACAACCACAGATATGATGTCAAAAAAAGTACAAACTGTTGCATAAAAATTCACCAGAATACAGAAAAATGTTTTGCTAGAGGTCATGTTGGAGGACTTCCTGCATACCTTTTACTTAATGTGTTTTCATAAAAGCTGCTCTTATGGCTGCAGCCCAGCATCAGGTTTTGTACTTTATCAGCTTCGATTTCCACAGAAAGAGTCTCGACTCCTTCTGTGGAAATTACAAAGAAGGAGTCGAGACTTGCTCGGCGTGCAGATTTATAAGTGCGGGCCAAATTCCTCTGTGACTGATGTAAACAGAAAATGTTTACTAGATGTTCAGGGTATAAAATAACATTTCACATTGGCAGTGCTGTTTTGGGGATATTTGTGAGGTTTATTTTCACGTGGCCTAGAATGACAAGTCCGTCTTCACAGAAATGAAGCTGAAAAATTAGAACAGTTGATCAGCATTGCCAGAACTCTGTGATTTGTCCTTTACATTGAGTCTAACTGAACACCTTGCAGTTTGGGGGGTTTATGCTGCATTCACATTATATCTGCAAGGATTAATCTAATTAAAGTCCCATACTGGGCTTGTTTCAGCCAATTAATCACTCACATGTACCCACAGTTTAACAAAGATGATTCATTTCACCATGACTGTATCGTGTTGAAAGTGATGCAGAAATGTGCAGAAACTGCCGACACAAATGAAAAAGGTCACAGCTCGACCCTTTAAAATAGCATGTTTGACTTCATCGTCACACTAAAAATGGTGGGCAAGTGGTATTTCTGTTTGGGAAACAGAAGTCAGACGGTGCAGGTCGGGTGAGGAAGGAGCATCAAAGCCACATTTAGCTGCTTTTGTGCAGCAGCAGCCAGCTCAAAGCTTTCCTCGACTTTATACGTTGATAAACCAAAGTTTCTGCCCAAAAAGTGGGGTTTGAAAATAAAAATGGAGCTATTTGCCCACAAGGACCAGAAATATGTTAAAGTGAGGCCTTCAACCCCAAAAACACCAGAACTACCATCAAGCATGGCGGTGGCAGCATCATGCTCTGGGGCTGTTCTTCTGCCAGTGGATTGAATAGGGAAGATGGACCTTCAGGTGCTTCAGGAAAATCTAAAACCATCAGCTAGAAGGTTGGGGGTTGGGTGCGGTTTGGTTGTTCCAACAAGATAATGAGCCCAAACACACGGCAGGTCACGAGGTTTCCCAAAAGAACCTGTGGACTGTTATGAAGAAACAAGTCTGGGTCAGAAAATAAATTCTGTCAAGAGGCGGGTCAACGATAGAACCAGAAGCTTGTGGATGGAAACCAAAGGCGACCAGTTAAGGTGAAAAGGGACATTTAACCAAATATTAGGATGTTTGTTTCTGACCCGGCGCATGTTGTCATACCTCCAGAAGGCTGGTAGTAAATTGAGAGACTCCATTTTTTAAAATTCAGAGTTACAGAAGTCATTGGAAACTCTAAACCATGATGTAATGTAATGTGATCACGTTATTTTGTGAGTCGCAGCAGAAACAGCTTGAGGCATTTTGGCCACAACAACCGGTTCTCCGGGTGACACCTAAACTGTACCTGACGACACCAACAGGTTAATATTTCAGTGGAGCGCACGTCTCTATATATGAAGAGCTCATTCGCAAAAACAGGTAGATTTTTTTGAAAACTTATTTTTTTGTTGTTTGCTTGCAATAATATCAATCAAACTGAAGCTGAGTGGATTTGACTCAGTAGAAATGACTTATTGATTGCTATTGTCTCAGTTAGACAATGAAAAGTGGGTTTTCTGAAGGTTTGTGAAGACAGAGTCATCTGTTTTTGCAAATGACCTCTACATACAGTTGTCTTCAGATGTACTTATCTGAAAAGAAAGAAGAAGAAAAAAAAACTGCATGATGGGACACATAAACTAATATGTAGCTGAACAACCCTTTGAGCCAATCACTGCCATCAGGTGTTTCCTGTAACTCTCAATCAGACTCCTGCACCTGTTGACAGGTATTCTGGCCCTCTGCTCATCAGCAAAGTGCTCGAATTTGTTTTGTTTTTTAAAATTATTCTTTTCAACCACAATTCAAAAGCAACGTCTTGTTTCGCTAAATTACAATTTATAATTTTTTTATTTTTTATTACTTTTTTAAGTTTCTTGCTATTTCAGTGTGAATTTTGCCTTTTTTTAATAAATAAACGTGAGGACGACTGTATGTTTCTGTAAGCGCGCGCACGTGTGTGTGACTGGGGAGGGAGGGGAGGGAGGGGCGGCTCCTCCCAGAACAGCCGCGCACACCGCCGCGTGCCCGCGCAACCGTCGAAAAAAGAAGTCGGTCCATTTAAGCGGCGGCGGCAGTGTTCGGGTCTCCAGCCGTCGGCGGAGTGAAAAACGGGAGCAGCGACTTCACGGGCGAAAAAAAAACAATTATCCCACGACGGAAAACTCACTCATGTGGATTTATTTGTCTTCCCCGCCGTTGTTGGGGTGACTTGGGGCCGTGGGGAGGACGGCCGGAGGGAGTTGAAGCGGCCCCGGAGGAGTTGGTGTCGGGACTTGAGAGGAGCGTTCACGGCGAGCAGCGCATCAAACGGCTCTCACGCAAGTAAGCTAACCGGTCGGCTGGTCCCAGGACTGCCATGTTTAGTCCCAGTTAGTCACTGGGTTACCTTCAGCAAAACTTTAAGAAAACACACAAACACAGCAGCCAGCTCCTCAGGTAGCGACCACACGGCTTTAAAAGGCTAAAACACGGTTAGCTTACATCGATGTAGTCACTCGGGTTGAACAAAAACACTTTAAATCTCCCGTTTGTCAGACGTGAAGGTGAGCAGATGAGGGTTATTTAAGTTAAAAAATAATAATTAAAAAAAAAGGAGCCACATGTGGGATCTTGAACAATTATAACTAAACAGTAAATGAAGAACACTTTTCCATCATCTACCTGAATCAGTCAAACTTATCTCTGTTGTTGTCAGATCCACTCAGCTTCCTGATCTCATCTCAAACAAACAACAAAAAGTTTTCTACAGTGAACTCCTGGTATGATGAAGGATAAATAGGAGATGATGGGATTAATGCAGCTCTGTAAACATCCACCACGAAACCATAGAGACCAACAAATAAAGCGTGTGTGGAGGTAATCTAATCCTTGAAGGAGCTAACTTGATAAATTCTTATTTTTTTTTAATGTTATTTGCAGAAAGCCTTGGACAAAGACTTTTTCCTCCTTTTCTGTTCTCCTCTCTGATGCCTCCTAGATTAAAGTTTTCATCCTGCTAACCACACAAAATGCTGTAAATGATCAGCTTACATCGATTTAGTGAAGCAGAAACGCATTCCAGGTCCAGCTGAAGGTGAGCAGATAGGATCCAGGTTCAAGAAAAGTCTGAGAAGGGAGTCTGAGCTTGGAAGCCGTGACAGAGGTTTTCCACCATTATGACTAAACTGTATATTAAAAATAACTAGGAGATGAATCAGTATTCATCCATTAGCTGCAGCCCTGCTCGGTGTAAACATTCACCACGTCGTGCCAGATGTTCACAGTGACGCAAACCAATGAAATGTGTGTGGAGTTGATCTAATATTTGAAGGAGATAACCGGATGTATTCTGAATGCTTTGCGGCTTTTTTTAAAACCTGGATAACCTGCTGTTCCAGACAGTAGTAGAAGTCGGCTCTTTCCTCCTCCCGTGATGCCTTTTTATACTCGGCTAGATTAAAGTTTTTAATCACATGAGCAACATTTTCCAGAGTTTCTGGGCAGAGTCGTGTGTCGGCTCTGTAGCCCCGCTATGTTTAGACAGAAATGTCCAAACCGCACTCTGGATCAGTGTCTTTCATCCGGGCCAGGGCGAGTTTCTGTGTTACTGCTAAATAAGAATGTGGCTAAATTACAACCAGGGCTTAAGACGCACATGATGGCGAAATGAAGAACAGAATGAGCTGTGATTAGTCATAACGACGAGTAGCTTGGCTCTGCGCTCTTATCACAAACATCATGTGTAAAGTTTATTATTTGGCTTGCATAGATTTCTGTTCTGCGTGACCGGTTCTGGTCAAACAAATGACTCCTTTGGATCTAATGAAGCGAATCGCTGTTATCTAGTCCCTGCACTGCACGGTTTGTGAGTTGTGACGCAATAGTCCCACACGGAGCAGTTTGCATTCAGGTACAGAAGAATAGAAGAATAGAAAAATACTTTATTAATCCCAGTCTGGGAAATTACTGAACTGTACAGAGGCATGATGGTGGGTTTTTGCTCACATTTTCCAGGTTTTTTCTCCAAATAATTAGGCTAAGATTAGCCTTTATTAATCCCAAACATGCACATGAGAAGAAAAGTAAAGAAAAAATACACACAAGTACTGACTCTTCAATAAGTGGAGTAGAAAAATCCTGATATTTGACTCTTGTATAGAAAATACATGTTGCATGCTGTGTCAAGTCTCCCCTGTGGCATTAGCCTACTGTTGTGCCTGTACAGGGATGCACACGAGTCGTTGCGTAACATCGCCGGCTTTATGAATGTGTAAAAGTGAAAGCCTTCTGTCATTCAGGTTCCTTATGTCAACGTTCCTCCTTCAGACACACCCACGATACCGACGCTGGCAGCCGGGAAACACAGGTGATAAAAATGACAACATCCACTGTGTCAGCTATGATTTACCTGCAGCTGATAAACTATGACCTCTGATGTGCTGTCGCATCCCGACCATTTCCATCTGGAAAAAGTTGAATTTAGTGCTGTTGTTCCACATGCAAATATACCTCCCATGGTTTGAAGGCTCTTGGATATCTCCTGCAGCTTTTCTAGAGAAGTGATCGGGGTGGTCACTGAGACACTGTCAGATTATCAGAGACGGGCTCTATCTACCCGTCAGTGTTTGTTTTGGACCTTTATCAGCTGGAACTGATGACGTGCTGAGGTCATCCCTACGTATAGGCACTTACGCCCTGATGAGATGCATCAGATAAATTTAGAGTGACTCAGTTTGGTGTGTTTGTGGTAGGAGAGTGGTTTTACGCACGAGGATGGTTGGTGGCTGATGGAGACATTGGGTACACATTTGCTTTTCCATTCTATGAGCCTGAACAATAACTGGTATTTTATGACGTTTTCTCCGTTTTCGACATGACAAAGATGAGTTTCTGTTGGCCAAATGGACTAACAGGAACTCTCTGGTCATCTCCAGGGCCATTTGAGCCACTCAGGAAAAGCAAGCGCTCGGCATTAATGGCCAATAATTTCTCTGCATCGTGTGTAGAGTGCTTTCCTTCAACCGTCAGCGCAGCGAACACACGCGAGCTCCAGCTTCCTGCTCACAAGGACACCGTGACCTGTTGATCAAATCAAACCTGCGGCCACTTTACGGGACATTCTCTCTCATCCACTCGTGGTGTGATCCGTGTCACCTAATGGACCACTCGTCATCGCTGTTTCCTTGGTAGTGGTGAGTTAGTGGTGTGGAGATGATCAAGGGCAATCTAAGGGAGGCTCAAGGTTTCTTCCTGGAACACCAGTGTCAAAGGCAGGTTTATTTATTGATGGATGTGGGTGCCTTTGCTGGATAGTGGAGGAATAAAACATGTGACTAGTAAAATTAATTTGTTCAAGTGCAGCATCTTGGATCAAAATGTGCTCCTTCTAATTTAAAGATCACCAGTCTCCTCCTCATTTCGAGGTCAGTGATTTCAGCACATCTCAGATGGGAGACCTGCAGATACCCAGGGGTGCTGCTAATTATGGGGGCTTCCCATTAGATCTGTGCTAGAACCACTCTGTGGTTAACACAGAAATCTGCTCTGCCCTGTTTAGACAGAACGTCACACCCTGTCACTAACGGCACCAGTTGACTTTGCAGCCAGTGTTTTCTCCGGCAACACCTCAGACCAGAGAGGCTGACACAGTGAATGTGTTTGCTCGGCCGTCCACCATATCCAGTTTTAAATAAGCTCACCTGACACGCCTGCAAACACAGCATTGCATCGCCTCCAGGTTTACTGTACAGAACAACAGAAATGTCTGCAGCTCACTGGAGGGCTACAAGAAGTGTAAAAGTGTGGAAGATCCTGTGGTCAACTCGGCTAGCATCGGCAGTTAAAGCAGTCGGGCCAACTTTCCCCAAGTGTGAGCGTGAGAAGCAGTCGAAATCCAGATAATAACCCACTTTCAGCTCACATTAGTGGGAAACTGCTGCCGCTGGTGGCTGCCAGTAGCTTAGCCCTGTTACTTCTGCTTCTGCACACCCAGCACAGGCCCAAACAGCTGCTTTCTTTTGTTGTGTTCTTTAGCAGCAGACTTTGGCACTACACTTTTCACCTTGACTCACATTTGATCGTTTGTTAGCCTCTGAACCCCAGAACCTGTCGGCAAGGGTTTTCAACGGCAGGTAAGAACTGCCAAAAGGACAGCAGCTGTGAAAACAGGATTTCCAACAGTCCTTGAACGACTCTTTTGGGACGTCCTGCTCTGTCAGAAAACCTGACTAAATGTGGGCTAAAGCTAAATCATGCCATTTCATCTAGAAGTCTCATTTAACCATTTGCCGTAATAATCTGTTTGCACCGGGGCGCCCCTGTAGCGACCCATGTATAGGGTCTATAGTTCCCCGACTCAGTGGTTGTGGGTTTGACTCCCACTCACGACCCTTTGCTGCAGGTGTCTCCCCAACTCTTCTCGTTGGCGTAGCCACAAAGCCAGTCGTCACATCACCAATAGCTCCTTGACGAAAAGACTTTTCGACTGAAGTGGGCTGAGCTGCAGGCTGTGTGTCTGCAGAACCGCCAGAAAACAAGAAAGTTTGTAAAATAAAGAATCCCCCCCAAAAATCCTAATGTTTTCTCTGCTTCTAGCCATGGTTGTGCTGTTTCCATAGAGGGGCAGGACTTTATATTGCAGGAAAAGTGTGGCTGGACCAAAAATATTTCAAAAACTGGCTGGAGATCATCGTGAAGCTTTTTTTTTCTCCTCATTTTGGTACCATGGCTTGCTAGCTACGAGGACTACTATCACTTATATCTCTGTTATTCAGGGACCCATGGATCCTAGCTTAGCACCAAATGGAGCACACAACTACAAAAAACCTTTCTGTCAGATTGTCCCGTTTACTTTCCCGTCAATATTTCCAAGATTATCCGATACGTGTGGAGTTTTTAGTGTAACTAGCGGGACACTGACGCATGCAATCAACGAGCCCAACTGTCTCCACGTGCGAGTAACCGGCCGCTCTGTAACCACAACAACCTGTTTTCAGTTTCTAAATGTCTGTTAACACGCAAAACCTCTTCTTCTGAGCACATGTGCGGCAGCAAAATGTGTAGGAAGTGTGCAGAATTTCCCAGATTGGTCGGCTTGTGGTGTCAGTTTCATATCAGTCATTGCTTAACGTGCTGTTCAAAAGTCCTTTATGTGCTGTGTGTAGGAAAATCCACAGTATCTAGAGTCCATAGAGGCACGTATAGATCACAGGATACACGACTTGCCCGTTTCCTTGAACGTTTTTTAACAAGCATGCCGATAGACGTCACTATGATCTCTACATGGACGTATCAGCTCAAAGACGAGACACTTAGATTCAACTACAAAGCCAAAATCTATGTCC